CGCAACATAAAAACACGCAGGTTCGCAACATAGGTCTGCAAAATCTTTCTCCCTCTCTCTCTCCCTATCCCATTAATGCACTCTTTGGTGAGTTAACTCACCTGACTTGTGAAAAGAGAGGTCTTACTGGCCCAGCTCAGCAGGCAAACTCTGGGCTCTGATTCCAACCATCCAGAAAGCGCCACATCTCAGACCCAAACTTAACTTGCCTCAAACAATGTGCTATTATAGAGTTTGCTCTGTATGGGTTATATTGCTAGAGCGCTGGCGGATTACAAAGTGCTTCGTCTCATTACTGTCCATATAAGCCTGCAGGCCCGGCCAGTACAAAGGAGTGATTGAGTGATAAGGGGAAAGAGATGGCCCGTAGCTGCCTATGAGAGCCCACACCTTGGCTGCTCTAGCCATGATGAGGACAGAGCTGATGTCATCGTGGCTAGAGACACAGGGGTCGACCCCTCTGATAGGTAGGCACGCTGGGACAAAAGAGAGCAGCTGGGACACAAAGGCCCCATTTAATGAGAGTGAGACATGAGGCCAGAGCGGACTCCGTGGGTGGCACATAGTGTCATAGCTGCTGAAAAGACCGGTGAGCAATTAATCATCTGATTCAAGAACTGGGCAAAGGGCTTTTTATGTAACATCACTTTAGACAGCTTCATCGAGGCAAAGCGAGACCTTTCTGGGTTACACTTCCATTTGATCACACTGATCCCCCCAACATTTCCCTCATCCCATAATATTGGATCCAGGGATGATATATTTATAATGGTGTTCAGGTCCAACAATTGTGCAAACATAATATGACACACTTACCCCTCATTAGAGATGAAGGGTCCTTTGTGGCAGCCTGACAATCATTAAAACTTCTCCCCTGGCTTGGCATGTTTACTCTGTGGTAATTACCAGGTGATTGTGTAGTCCGTGACCCACATTCAGAGTCAGGTCAGCCAAGACATGGGGGATAATTGACAATATTCAGGGAAGTGCACGTAGAGAAAGAGTGTTAGAGTGGATAGTCATGTTCCTGCCTCATTAGACTGTGTTAGAAGACAAGCTGGCTCACAGTATTCCTGCAGTGCAACAATACCCCGCTCCACTGTAAGCCCAAACCGTGGGCTCTGGTGTGTAAGGCGGTGTTTACACGAGAACGAAACTACTTTTCTCTCGCGTATAGCCCGTTCGTTCACACGAGGCAGTAACGGAACTGCGGAAACGGACCCCGCAAACGATAACGGGTCCCAAGGTGGATAGATCTGCAAACGGAACGCTCTGGGGGGCCAAACGGCTCAGTGTGTACACCCTACGATCATTTTCTGCTGCTCACTGCTGTAGCATGGGCAGTAGCTACTGACAGTAGCTACTGCTACTGACCATACTACAGATGTTAGTGCAAAATCTACAGCTCCTCTACCACAACCATCAGCAACAAGTGGACATGGAGAATTACATGAACTACATGTTGCTAAATCTACCGCAGGGCATAAACAGAAGGGCAACCATGGCAACCATGCTCAAGTGTTTTCTTCGCCGCTTTTGGTGTATTTTGTGGCAGAAGTACAGCGCCACTTACAGGCCCGGCATATGTACTACAGCGTTTCCAGTGGTCTCGTGTGAACGGATACGTTAAATGAGCCGAATGCGAGTGAACGGAATACTTTTCTGATAACGAATTCGGTCCGTTTGCGTTTGCGATTGAGAGGGCATATGGCAGGATCGTTTATCTATTTATTCACTCGTTGCGTTGGTAATATGGAAAATATTTTTATATTATGTTTTCGCAAATCGGCTTATGCTATTTGATGTGTTTATTACGTGATTATCTCCACAAAGCAACACTGGCCCAAACACAACCAATAAAAGCTAATGCTAGACCAAGCTGTGAAAAACTCAAAGGTGGCAACATCACTGAGGCTGCCAAACTAAATAGAATTTGGCAGTGCTCAGTCGCAAAAGGCACTGTGAGGTCTCGGCTATGTGATGTAAATCCAGGTTTGTTTGTTTAAAGGCGTCCGCACAAGACTTTGTGAGTCAATTTGGGAGCGGATGACTCACAAAACAAGAAGTATACAACTTAATGAACCCCAAAACACAACCTAAAATAACTGAATGTGGTACCGTAAAATGCTACCAGTAACAAGACGTTGTTGACCACTTGTAGTGGACCTGTAGTGACATGGTGATGGAGGAAAAGTTTTGGTGATTTCAGCCTATTGAAACTCCTGTTTTTGGTTGCATCATGCACTTTTAAATTGTGAACCGGCTGCTAGAAATGGCACAACAAGGCTAACAAACTGCTGTGCTTAATGCTGAGACCTAGAAGTACGAGTACTTCATTTACAATTCATCAATTCATCCTCTTGGCTTCATGTGGTTGTTGTTAAGAGTTTCTAATGCTACGTTCACACCGGACGCGATGCGACGTTTGGGGGCGGCGCGATTACATGTAAAGTCAATGCAGAGACACAATCAGACGCGAATTTGCTCCGACGGCGCGCATGAAGCGGTGGACGCGGCGCGAATCACGCGATTGAGGCGATTGAAGGGGGCCGCGTCAAACGCGAGAGTTCAATTTTTTCAACTCGGGCGTCAAATTCACGTGACGCGTTCTCACGGAGGCCAATCAGCGGTGAGGATCTCAGCCTGCCGTCACTGACGTTCAACCAGAAAACATCAGCCATTAGCTGTTAGCAGTTAGCACACAGAGATCACAGCTCCTCATATCTGTTCAGAAACTGTACAAAAGTTAAACAAGAACAAACCACAGACTGTCTGTGTCATGGCGAATACAGTCGCTGGTTTATTTATGTCTGTAGGCCGTTGTTATGAGTGTGGCGTGAGCATATACAACGTTAGCTTAGCCTGGTCGACTCAATCTCCATTCAGAAAACAAGCATTTTAAAAGGTTTTTCGCCTGCAGACTTGTCTCCAGACTTGTCAAGCATTAATTCATGGTTTTTACTAACCGGTATCAGTATGTTGTTACGTCGGCATCATTTAGAAACGTGTATTACAATTTAATCACGGTAAAATATGTTCATTTTGTTGTAGTTGTAGCTCCCGAGCTAGCGCGTCTTGTTTGAATGATGCGAGTAAACACAGCTGGCAGCCGCGGTGAAACTCGAGCGACTAGAGCGATGCGATAGGAGCGATAGGAGCGTTTAGAGCGAAGCGAATATTCGCATCGCGTCCGGTGTGAACGTAGCATAAGAAGTAGGACGATCCAAAGTCTTATTTGTGTCTGTTATTTTCCAGTGCTCCTCAGAGACATGTTGGACCCTGCAAAACTATGCATTAGTAAGCAATAATAAACCTTTTAGCTAGCTCATTAGAAAAGTGTTATTTGACATGTCTTGATTGGAGAGCATTGTTTCTATACTGGCGCCTGTGTCTACACGAAAAACAACATTGGACTGGTATGGTGATAATGTTACAGCCTTATATAAAAAAATTACCTGTTTTAAAGAATAAAGCATTTTATTGTACTAGTGAGGAGTGCATTCAGCAGTTTATTTCCCTTTCCTGGAAATAACTATTTTCTGATAGTGGTATAAATAAAGCACTTGATATATTTAGAATAGTTGAGGTTAATTAGCCAGCCCATGTGGTTGGGTCCACATCAAACCAACATGTCACTGATGCTTGTGAACCTCAGTGCCATGAGGTTACAATTGTAGGATGTTTTGGGATATTTGTTGTTTACGATGTGTGTTCTATGAGGAGGGGGTAATTGATTGCTCTGATGGTGTGTGCTGGAACATGTTGTAATTTTCCGTAAGGAGAGGGGGGCTCGGCTCCAGCAGATAAAGAGTTCTAGGACCGTCTAACCTTACCAGGAATTCCCAGAATTCCATTTCCTAATTATGACATCCGTGTAGCAGAGGCCCAACAATAACCCCCCTTTCACCAATCACACACACAACTGCTGAACACACGCACACGCATGCAAACACACGCACTTACACACACATTCCAATTCCCTTCTTTGAGCATCATCAGATAAGAGATGGAAAGTGACGGGGAAATGGTTGAGGAGCCTCAGAGCATAAAGAGGAAGATAAGATATGGAAAACAAGGAGGAAGTGCTGGCTTTGAGTGACTGTTAAGTCATTGCCATTTCCTTTTCTGTCTTTGAAGGTACTTCAGTAGTATGGCAAGCCCCATTCAGCTTAGTCTTTTTAAAACTAAAGTGACTCATTATTGTTTGACGGTTTTATACCTTGGACAGGGGAAAGATGCACCAAAAGTCAACCGAGACACCAGACACCACAACTCTGGCATACTGCGAAATACAGATAGCTTTCCTTGGCGGCTTGTTTTGGAAGGATTTGTAACAAACTGCATATCAGTTGAATTTGGCAATAACTGAAATGTTTGGCCATTTGGGGGCAGCAGAAACAAGCTCTAAACACAACACTGAATAATTATCAATGTTTTACTTGATAGGGAGGACTTGTTAGCAAAGAGTTGACTATGTGCACATCTAGCGGCAATAAAGAAATATACTCAATAATTTGGAGTTGTGTTTCTGGTCACCTTAAGGGCAAGTATCCAGTCTCCTTTTAGCTTAAACGCTTAAGGGGATAATCTGGCTCATTAGCTGCTAAATGTTCCACTATGTCAGTGGTTCTCAAACGTCAGGCCCCCCTTTTGGAGAAAAAAAAAGTCGGACCCCCCAACACAAATAGTCACGTAATGGGCCAAGTTAACATTTATTAAAATACATCAATATGAACGTGAGCATTCCTTTCAACATTTAAAAAAAAAAATCACTGCTAGAACAGTGATAATAAAACAATGCTCCATAAGTCTGTGTGCTCAAAAAAAAAAATACATAATACAATTGTGCAATCCCTTTGCTAGAACAATAAGTTATAATACTTTGCCACTTTGCAATCTCTGCAAAAAAATGAAAAGAAAGAAAATGCTGATATTTGGCAAAAAAGTGGCTGCAATGAGCCTGTTTGGCACTGCACATTTCTTCAAAACGGGGTTGCAGGCTCAGTGGCGTCTCTTGCGCCCCCTATCATGCCTCTGCGCCCCCCAGGAGGGACGCGCCCCCCACTTTGAGAAACACTGCACTATGTTAACCAGCTACCGTCCGGCAGGCTGTCTATCAGTGTCAGTCTGTTTTTAGAGCTTCTTTGCTCATTTACTTTTTAGGCTTGAGTGGAGAGATATGAGTTTGGGTCATGAACCAAAACAATGAACTGAAAGAGGCTAGGTGATATTTCTCTTTAGGGTTATCACTATGAGCAAACCCTATTACACATAACAGTAATAATAATAGGTCAAACAATTATAATTAAGTAATATTAATCTTTTTATGGACATTTTTTTTACCTTAAAGTGCTTTACAAGGAATACGTAAAAGCCAGGCATTTAAGGCAAAAATAAAATAAAAAGATAGAATATGTTAAAATATATAAGTGAAAGTAAAAAAAACAGAAAGCATTAACAACACTCCTTTGTTTAAATACGTAACATAGTGACATCACTACACAAACGCATCAATTGGCTAGCACTCCAGAACATTGTACGCGATAGGCTAAGGCACAGGACATTTCTGACATTCTTAAGCGGTTGACCAATCACAACAGAGCAGGCCAGCCAACCAATCATTGCAGACTGGGCTCTGGTTTCAGACAGAGGGTGAAAAGAGGTGCTGCAGCACAGGCAGTATGGGAAAAATAAAGCACTTTTAGAACATTAAAGCATGTAAACATGTCACTGTAGAGACACATTTGAACAAGAGCATGTATGTCCCCTTTAAAATAAAAGTGCTGGATTCATAATAGTTGTTTGATTCCTTAAAAAACGTCTAGTTATAAAGCCTATTGCTCCCACCTTTCCCCCCCACACAAAGCAGTATAGGGCTGGTTAGCCTGGCTTTCCATACAGCTCCTTCATTTCATGTGCCAGAAGTGCTTTTGGACACAAATCCTCTGTTGTAAGTCGTGGGAGGTATGAACCGAGCTCGAGTGTTGCTGTTTGCTCTGTACATTTTGTCCCTTTGGGAAATCTCACTGATTAAGTGCTACTATTTTGACAATATGTCAACTCACAGGGAGTGAAGATTAATTGATGTGCTTGGCAGTTCCGTAAACAACATTGCTGACCAACATGTTCCCAACCTCATCCCAATGCCGTCTGAAAAAAAATGGGTTAGAAGACTGCCTATTTTAGTGCTGCTGTCAGACTGTAAAGCTGTAATGAATCGTTTTGATTAAAACCTGTCAAGTGCAGTCTTTCCCCCCCCTTTTTTTATTCCTCCTCTGAAAAATCTCTTGACTGAGCTTCAGTGAATGTGCATGAATTATCTATGAAACAAATATACCAATTACTAAATTGCATATGTATGTTTCTATATTTTTAGGATTGAGCCCAGGGCCAGACCACTGTGTGAGTCGTCGTGGGGAAATAGAGGCCCTTTATTAGTGATGGCACACAGGGGTCCTTCATGAGGCCTACATGGGCACTTTATAACATCTGACATGAGCAGTTGAGACCAATGCTTGTGGTCGATGCATGGTTGACGGAGTCCAGTCTTATGGGGTCAGACGGCTTGCTCACTTTCCCTCCCCTCTCCACCGCCCTTCAACTAAGAGAAAGAAAAAGACAGGGTAAGAATCAGAGGAAAGAGAAAGGGGAAAATACTAATCTAGTGATGCTGGATCAAAAACACACAGAAGCAGTTGGATAAACACCATGAAACTCACATAAAATCTCTAAGGGGGTTACTAATCATTGTTAGCCAATGCTATATTAATCTGCATCAGAGGTGTTGGCTGACTTTATTAATGTGTTATACAATTCCAAAAACAGTGGGTGTTTTCTGATCCTTCTCCCCATTGGCATCTTTGTCATACCTTCCAGAAAAAAACTGCAGATCGTGGAATATCGTGTATCAGGGTTAAAAGGGGGCTAAGCGTCTAAAGCTATGCTATCAACTCTGGGAGAGTGAGCGCAGCAGTGCCTTAAGTAAGAGGGAAATGATCACCAGTCAAAGGGTTTAATCCTGTGCGGGCGATGAGTGTCTGTACAATATTTATTGACAATCCATCCTGTTTGTTGAGATGTTTAATTTTGGACCAAAGTGGTGTACCAACTAAATGACTTATCCATCTGTAGAGCCACTAGCAAGGCTAAAACCTTGGTTAAGGTTGGAAACACATTGTGGTGTAGGTTTAAAATCAACATCTATGTGGTTAAGTTTAGGAGAGGATGATAGTCATGGTAAAAACAACGGTAAATGGAGACGCAAACAGATGCTGGTGTCACCCAACCATCCGTTCCAACCTTCCCTAAGAGCTTTTGCGGTACTTTAACAACATCACGCTGCTTCCACCTTTGCTTCTGACAGACAACAGTCATAATTCGCATGGCCACACGAGGTCCTTCTCAGAAAATCACAAACATAGGTCATTTGAGGCATTTGAGCAAACAACCGGTGCTGTAGCTTTTTTGGAAGGAGGACCAGTCTCCAAATTTAGACAATGTCTTCCAGGTCAGGAATGTTAGATAGCCTGCTACCAGTTTTCAGGCCATGCCTGAGTGTTTGTGTTTGTATCCGTATGTGTGAACATTCCTTGCATGGCCAAGCATCAGAGCTGAGTGCACAGAGGGGGGTCAGTGGAGTACTTGTGGACCAACTCAGTGAACCCTGGAAGGCCAGTTCATCCTTCATCATACCTTGTGCGGAAAGGTCATGGTGAGAGAGAGGGAGCAGGGTTGTTTGTGCACACATAAAACACACTTTTTTCCAGCTCACGATCCATGATCTATCCCCTAAACCCCTTACGTATCCATTGCCTTTAGGCACATTTTATTGAGTTGTTTAATAAATCTGTTCTCTGTGTGGTTGGTTGGATTTCAAGGCAAAAATGTAAGTTATTTATTATGTCTGAACCACGATTTATTAACATTTTTGACACAGATTGACAAGTCATGTACATATTTTGAGCACCAAATAGATCCCATACTGATATATTTAAAGCTCCTCATCAAAATACAAATATGTCAGACATTCAAAGACTGACAAATCTCCTGTGACCCTGTTTGTATATTAAACAACACAAATAGCATCTCGTCCGCAAGGTTCAGAACTCTGGTGTAAACATTTGAAACTCTACTGCGCTTGTGAAACAAGTTGAAATAAACTGGAACCCGTAAGTACTTGTTGCAATGTTGATGTCTTCCTCCAGTGTGTTTGTCTCTGAACTCTCTATCAAGGGAGGCCACATGGCAGAGTGAGAAATGTTTCAGCGAGGTGCAGCTTAGTTTTCAGGACATTCTGATGGTGGACGCCACTCATCTTCATGGTTGCGGATCCCAACCCCCAATCTGCTGATTACGCTGTCTTGGCCATCCCAGCTTGCGTAGCCATACCTGTGGGTTGGATGGGAGCTGCAGACAGCTAGTGAATTGAAGTTGAGTGTTTATGGTGTGAGAAGCAGCCCCGGGGTCTAAACACGGTCTCAGTGGAGTCTGTCACGGTAGGTTTGGTGAGGGAGGCAGATAATGGCTCTTCCGTGGTTATACGCTTCTGTGGTCTGAGCTGATCTACGCTGCAGTATCACATGATTCTAGTTAGTTTAAACCTATATGTCTGTAGGCTAATGCGTTTGGTTAACAGCTAGCCAACCTATACAGTATGTGTTGTGGTTAACATGTAGCTGCTAACCCACAGCCAGGCTTCTTTGTGAGCCCTAAGCTGGATAAAGCTGCTGTGTGGGCTCTTTGCGCCGTTGGTTTGGGTTTGAGGGAGTTAGCCTGAGGAGCTGAGGATGTAGCAGACATGCACAGTGGCGGGAAGTATGTGGTAATTATTGTGTTCAGGACTGCCATCTGTCAACTCTCCCCTTTTAGATATTTACTGGACCCGCATTCCTCTTGCTGGGTTGGTGGATGGGATTCACTTCGTGTGAGTGTGTTTGTGGGTGTGTATCTGGTAAATGCATGCAGTACACAAAGGGGTGCATATGATGTGTACACCAGACTCTATGCCTCAGGCCATCTTCCGTCATAATACCTTATAGTCCATATTATTCTAGCTCTCTCCGTCTCTCTCTTTCTGATTTCTCAAAGTTTATATCTCCTCTACAGATTGAGTTTGTCTTTTTGAATTATTTACATTTTTCAGAGACAAAGTTATTTCTTGAATATACAAATGTTACTCGGTCTGTTTATGTGTTGTGTGTATTTTAGATTCCAAACATTTTCCTTGTAATGATGTGCAAAGAATTAGGAGCATGTTAGGAGGGGGTGAATGCATTTCTAATAAAATGACAAAATATGTGTTGTCTGTCATCTTCACCGTTGGTCTTTAAACGTAACCTGTCACAGTGTGAGCTGTGTTCCTCTCCAACATTTTAGCCGAGCTCTTGGCTTTGTTAATGGAAATATGTCGAGAAAGTGTTTTGTTTGGTCTCCATAGCCAACCCAGTCTCACGGCATTTCGTGTTATAGTTACGACATTTAATCTATTGATTCGTGTTCACCAACACGATTTTCCCCTTTTTTTTCGTGTCACACAGAACGATTTATTTTAAATCTCAGGCTTTTTTGGCGACCGTCAGGAACTGAATTTCAAAATAAAATAACCGGAAACAGACGTAGGCCTATAAGGGACATTTCGAGCATCATTGCGATACACTGAACTGATTACCCAAGATCCTCAGCTATGGTTTAAGCTCGCTGATTGGATGTTTTAGTTGCAATGCATGTAGGGATATGGTGTTAATGCCATATCAAATCCGAAAAACATTTCTGAGTTTAGGATGGCCGAAGACACGACACTACCCATAATCCCCAGCTATCGTTTAGGACTACTGTCCCCGTGATTAATCTTCAAGCTCTGGGATTGGATGTTGGAGTGGCTGTGCGCAGGGCCGCCTTAATGCACGGGCTGACCTGGGCTGAAGCCCAGGGGCCTACGGAGATCAGGGGCCTATCATGAGCCAATTAAAAATAAATAAATAAATAAAAATAAAAAGGTTTTTATTGCAGATGTTTTTAATTTTTGTTTAAATAAACAAAGTCTTGGCTTTCAGAATATGAAACTTTTATTTCCAAAATCACACGATAAATACATTTTTGAAGCTTGTAAAGGGAAGAAGACAGCTCTCCCTCGCCACTCTGCTGTTCCACAGCGCCGCCCCCCCTCCCTCCGCTGAAATTATGAATGTAAGGCGTATAGTAATCATAAATAACACGGCAGGGTCCGTGACAGTTTGTTTTCATCTGGTTTCAAATAAACAAAGTCTTGGCTTTCAGAATATTAAACTTGTTTCGGCAAATTCAGATGATAAATACAACTTTGAAGCTTGTAACGACATAATTACAAGCAGAGAACGGAGTAACTTGACGTCACAGCAGGCATGACAACAGCCGGTGTTTCTCGTGAGTGTTTTCCCCGGGAAACAAACACAATACACACAAACGCAAAAATACACACACACACACACACACACACACACACACACACACACACACACACACACACACACACACACACACACACACACACACACACACACACACACACACACACACACACACACACACACACACACACACACACACACACACACACACACACACACACACACACACGAGCTTCCCCCAGACCAGTAATCCAAACGAAAATATCTTCCCTCTGTAGTATTTTGATCATTTGCTCCGCTAATCAATCAGATCGATGGATTCCAGAGATTTTTCTCAAAAATGATGACTCCGAAACAGCCAGTGGGCACCACTTATCAGCCAATCAGAATGAGATTATGTTTCACATGTGACGTATTGAAATTGCGAGTGATTGAGTGACAGATGAAGGTTGTTTAGGAGAAAATGTCGGAGAAGAAAAAGTTTGAGAGTGGCGCTCGGAAAAGGAAATTGTTGAGGGAAAAGGAGTTTCGAGACAAGCAGCTATTACAAAAAATGCCGAAGCTTACAGATTGTTTTAAACCTGTAGGCCAGGATGAGGAGGAAGGACAGATGAGTTCTGTACCGAGCGGCAGCGGTGCCGGCCGCGGGGCCTCGGAGCCAAGTAGGCCGCCTGGTTCTGATAGCGATGGAGTAGCGGGAGAGGAAAAACAGACAGGAGGAACATTATCCGATGGAGGAGATGGAGAGGACGACGAGGACTTGCTACGTGGAGGGGAGCCAACGGCAACCGGACAGATACATGAGGGAGGCCCGATACGTCACTCATCTGGAGGAGAGGACCAGGCACGCGTAGAACAGAGTGGAGAAGTGCGATCACAGAGCCTGCCGAGGCTATAAAGGACTTTGATTTGTTGTTTAAATAGGGGGCCTACAAAACCTGCCATCAGCCCCAGGGCCTGATGGCAGGTTAAGGCGGGCTTGGCTGTGCTCCAAGGTTACGCTGAGCGTCAAACAGCTGTTTGAAATGGAACGAAACCACGCCAGACTATCCAAAACTGGAATCGAACGCCCCCCCCAGAACTACACATGCTGGCTATTGGGTTTCGCAAAATGTTCTATGGGACGTCTTTACTGAACGTTTTTGTTTTTCCCACAATTAGAAGTTGCCAGTATTAAAAACATTGGTGTTATCAAATGTAAAACATATAATTAATA